AAATCTGTATAAAACTGAATTTTCGATGAAAAAATTTCACACTTTCAGATACATAATGCCAGATTTTCACGAGTAGGATCAGCTTTTGCACTGAAAACAAGCCGACCAAACTTGGTACTGCCAATGCAGTCAGCTAGTGATTTCTTCCTGACAGGCGAGAATACCGCCAGGTTTGTCTTTCTTATCGGGAGTTTTTTTGAAATATCAAATTTAAAAGAGCTTCTTGATTTTAAATCGATGTTACAGGATCATTCAACAACCTCTCACATGTAAAAATATTAATTAATCATAAACTATCATGTCAAACATGTCAGATATTTATGGAAGACACGAGGAAAGTTCCAAAATTCAGAGGAATGTTTGAAGATGGAAGGATAAATGTTTGAAAGATGTTTGAAGATGGAAAGATATGTAATGTTTGAAGATGGAAGGATAAAATGAGTTACCTAAGAACGGTCATAATTCCCCAAAATTTGCTCTTGCAGCGGTTTTTTATTTGTGCAGCTGTTTATGTTATCTGTCACTGATATCAACATATAATCAATGCTATCCTATCAATGCTCGAAAGTGAACTGTGTCTTGAGGATATCATGTAACTCTCTGGAACTAATATTTCAAAATATGGTAAATATGAAAATAGGAGGAAAAGAATGAAAAGGATAACATTTAACTTTTAGCAGTTTGTCTGCTAAAATTTCAGTAAATCTTTAAACTTTCCCCAAAACAATTTATTAAATATATTGTGAATCTACATAGTTTATGTGAATTGAAATATGCGTGCATGCATGAGGATTCCTACTCGTATACGATTAATTTTCTTCTGCATATTTTATTTCAGATTAAAAACGTAATGAAGTTTCAAGGCCAATACAGGAGACCTTCTTTGAGGAATTTTGGTATGAGAGTAGTATTTAAATGATCTCACAACTATTATTGTGATTTTATGTATACATATTTTTTAAATCATCAGAGAATTAATTTATTAGTGATTGATATCTCATCTAAAGTGTATAGCCCTTCATCAACGCCAGACAAATACATTTCAGTTTGTAAAATTTCTGACACCAAAAAATTGCAATGTATGCAGAAGTCTTGCTTCCATATTAAAAAAAACGTCGATTACTTATATTTTTCATAAATCTGACTTAGAATAAAAATAGAAATTATAGTACGAAAGAAAGGAAATTTAACATTCAAGAATCTTCGGAATCTCAAGATTCTTTGATATTAAACCATCTTATATGGCAGCCTTATTCAACATGTTTCTTCAGTTAGATACAAGAAGAGAATTAAAGTTTTGTCTTTTGATGTAAAACAGATCTTTGGAATCCACCCTTACTTATGTAATGATAAATTTTTGCTCCTGTATCTTAGACAGAGCTTTTTTGTACTGTGATTTGTTTTCGCCCTGTTCCAATTTGCGCTTTTCAGTTCATAGGTTCATCTAATGATTTAAATCGTTTCTTTCCAACTCTCTCGACCCATTTATTAATACTTGAACTACTTGTCTTTAACGCCGAATGATGCAGTGTCTGTATCTATCCTTTCTAAGCGCTCTATGCTCCTCTTTGGTCCTTCCTTAGTACTATGACTTCAACTGTCGAACATAAGAGACTTTATAAATTTTTTTGACCTTGAATGATATTAACTTTTAATCTGCGTTTTAATTCGAAATGGATCCAATTTTAAATTGAAATGTTTGTGTAATTGCTGAACTCAGTTAATCGAGTCACGCCTTCAACTGAATATTCAGTGGTAATACCAGTGTAGAAGCAATAAAATTAATAACTAGTTATTGGACAATATTTCGCCATTGAGACGAACGCATTTTCTGAAGTTTCATTGCACTGATTGGTATTATTTCAATAAATACGTGAAATTTGTACCAAATTTTCAGCGAATTAAATACCCGAAATTTCGAATTTGTGTTTGGTTTGGACTTGCTCAATGCGTTACTTTCATTTCATTGTTTGCATTTTATTGATTACTGTGTTATATTCAAACGTTTGCTCAATCAACCTTCTTTTGCTTTGCTATCGGTTTTTACTTTTGTCTTATTGAAGAATGGAATCTTTAATACTTCGGTAAATCATTTGAATTAAACCGAAACTCTTCTCTTCTTCCTTTCCTAAGACAAACAGACCTTGTTCATCTCTGTCAATTTGTCTTTTTTTCTGACGGCTTTTTTCCGAGTTTTTTCATCTGAATTAATTTCACTTAGTGGGTAGATAAGTGGCATTTTATTGGCAGTTACCTAATGTTTTAGATTTTTCAAGTTCTTAGATTGGGTGTATTTGTTTTTATAACAAATAGCAAGTTATCCATTGATAAAGTCTGAAACGGATGGGATTAGAATATTGTTAATGATTTATTAATATGGATTTTAATAGTTTATCAGTGGAGCTGATGTATTCCTAAGGAATTACCTTGATTTCACCACACTTAATTAGAACATAGACTATTCCATGAAACATTCGCTGAACTGCTATGGAAAGTTCTAAACGAACACAACGTGGAAACAGTAATTTAAAAAAGTAATCCAGCAAAATCATAGCATATTCCCTTTTCTGCAAAATAGTGATATTGAAGGGGATGGGATTAGACTGGTGTTGAAATAGTTTGTCGTATTATAATGTTACTGATATAATTTCTTTCTGCTTCCTACACATATCAGAGTATGACGCATCACTTCTTACTTCTCCTCGCTACAGTATCTAAAAATGCCATTACTCCTCATAAGATGTCGAAGAATTCATATTCAGTTCACATTTCGATAATTTCTTTAAATTTCTTTGAAGTTACGGCTGTGACCACACTAAGTTCCTTGAAATCTTATGACCAGTCAAAATTATCTGAAGAATTTAAAATTTGAAATTGGAGAAATTATCGGAATTTCGTCGTTTTTGAGTCGCATCATCATAATTAAAGAAGAAAAGAATTGTGTTGAGAGTTCACCTTGAACGTAAATTCATCGAAATTTCAAGCTAGAACGGGAATTCTTGCACTGGTTCGATCTTTCTACTTATCTGTTATTTTTATGGGAACGAATACTGAAAGTATATGTTGGATAACCAGTTTCTTCTCCACATTTTCTTTCTTTTTCTATCGACCTCTTTATTTAATCCACTCTGCTCGCTATTCTCCATTTTCGCATAATATCTTCCTTATCTTGCGCATATTCAAGTCCTAATTACGATAGCATATGTGAACTGTCTGTTTAAAATACGACAGATTGCAAATAAGGCTACGGGATTCGACCCTTCAATTGTCTAGGTCATTCGAATCCTATCAACTTTTTTCCTTTTCCTGACCTCTTTTCCTATTCATTGTCTCTTTTCTCTGCCCTTTAGCTTCGTTTATAATGTCTGTCTAGAAAACTATTGTTTGATACGATCTCTTTCTTGAAGGACCGTCCTGTCTTGATGAGCTTCTCTAGAGTGACAGCTGTGCAAATGCTTTTGTTAATAAAATCCCTAAGGTTTGCTGTGAACAAAGATCCTACGACCAAAAGGCGCCTTTTATTGATCTGCTTGGAGGAAAAAGATCCATCTGTCTAAAATCCATTAAACTATAATAGTCTGATGTTTGGTATTGGTTTGATATTGAATTCCCGATTACCGATATATCTAAGAACACTGCGCGTTGATGTTAATGGTCACAGGAGCGATGCATCGATTTCTGTTGAGTATTACAGCGCGAGTACATTATATATATTAGAGGTCATAAATTTCACAATGCGCGAATCAGAAAATTTTCGGTTTTTTAGTGGAAAGTATGTCTTCCTCTTTTTTCATCTATTGCAAATTTGATCAGTGCAGAGTAGTTCATCACACGTGAATTTAAAATTTCCGAGAAAATTTCTATTTATTTTTTCCTTTTTGAGGAAATTTGATGCATTGTTGGCTGTAAATCCTCTTAGCATGATGCTAATGAAACTGAGACAGTACGATAAAAGTAACGGAAAAGACCGTCTCTTGATGTGTGTTCCAGTTTTTCACATTTATCACAATGCATTTACACGTTGTACAAGTTTTCCGTATGCTTCAACACTGAATATCCAAGTAGTTGGAATTCGGAACATCCGTATGCTGATAATTATCGGTTTTTCTTGTTGTTGATGGCAGGTAGAAACATTTTCCTATCTGATGACATTTTCTAAACAGATTCTATTTAAGTTTTCATGTACAATAATTTGGCTTTAAAGTTGAAACCCGATGGAGATTGGCCCATTGCTTTTTTGACTGCAGTAGTAAAGTACATTTTGCGAGCGTAGTTTTCTTAACTGACTTATTTACTTTCTTGCTTTCTGAAATAATTCTACTCATCTCTTCTCTGAATATTTTTTTAATATACTTTTTCCAAATATGCTTTCTGTATACTTTATAATATACTTTTTGGGACTTATTATTTACCTATACTTTACATATTTTTAAAAATTTTCACTTTATGTATTTTTACACATGCGCCCGAAATTCAGCATCAATACTCCGACTTAAGCATAAAATGTGATACCAAACATATGGTTGTAACACGGAAAGGTAGCGGAACTTTCACGTCAAGTTGTATCCAGCAAAAGAGGTAACTTAGTTCTTTATGGATAGGAAATCTGCAAGATTTCATTGTTGCTCCAGTTATTTAAATATTTCCGGAAACAAAAGGCAACGCAAAAAAAAAAAACCATTACATTGGGCGTGTCACATACATCCTGATTAAAGCTTGTTTTGTGGAGTGGAAGGACTTATTGTACTTGTATGTATCGGTTGTTAATCAAATTTATTTTTTAGCTTTTTTCTCGAAAATTTGCAGGGATCATTTTAAAAAAGATACAAGAATGATGAGTTGTTTTCATTAAGGTATCTCCTCCTGATTTAGTTGTAATTACAATTCCAAGCCAAGATCAACTAATACTAAACTGAAAGTGCTGCAATGTAATATTTAATCCTGCAAAATACGTCGAGTAAATTAACCTCAAATTAATTAAAATTAATGAGTTATGCATTTTTTTCTTGCATTCTATTCTAACCCCTCGTATTAGGAGAGAAATATATTCAAAAATTGTAAACAAAGGGTGGAAATGTTAATGTTAGGCCGCTTTCTTGACCAAATAGTCTTATAACTTCACCTTCTTGAAGAAAAAGAGTAATTTGTATGTTTCCGGATTTATCTTTGGAAAGCCTATTCCTACCAATTTGTGTCCTCTTTTGTTTAGCTGGTGGATATAACTACTCGCCAGGGGTCTGTTATACCCATCGTTATAATTATTTTATTCAACATTTATTTATGGGAACATGTGGTCTTCTGCCTGGTGAGGATTATCTGTTTACTGGGTTCTCAAATAAAGACCATTAAGAATCAATGGAGAGTAAGGCAGGAAAAAGGTTATTTTTGGATTTAAGCATTTGTTGGTTAGTGAGCAAGAAGGTTGTGCTCTCTGATTTAATTGTTTCATTTTTCGATCTATATTTCTAATTTTTTATTTTTACTGCTTTGGTCTATTTTCCTAATTAAAAGAATTGAATAGCAGCAAATAAATGAATGAAACAAAGTAACTGATTACATCACTCATTGCCTAGTGTTGAAATTCGTATTTTCAGTTACTTGAGCGTTGTTCCCTCCAAGACTTCTTTGCATCAGTAGTTTCCTTACATACTTTTTGACGTCGCATCCTGACTTCAGATATAAGACAAGCACTAGTTCAATTCTGAGATGAATTAAAACAGAAATATCACATCTAAATGTTTTGCAGTTTTCAAATTTCGTCTTTGTTTTTCTCTTAAGATTTCAATACATTAATATCCTGTTTTATGATTTACCAAAAATTTGAAAAAAAAATGACAAAAAATTACACTTTTTGTCCCTCAACTATTTGCCACCATTGGCACAATATTTCATGTTTATATTTTCGTGATTTTCGTGCCCTCTCGGATAATTTCGATTAGCTGGCCCTGGCCTTTGGCTTCATTCTACCTATATCGATCCATGTAAACCTAATGTACCCTATATCGATCTGTCCATGTAAATTCTGAAGATTAGAACAATGCAATTAATCGGTCCATCTTTTCTGCCTTTCATTTTTCCGTTTATTGTTAATCGTTTTATCATTTATTTCTCTTATCACTCGTGATATACCAGAAATTTCCGCATAATTCAATATCATCGTCGGCTGCTCTTGGCCAAAACAACTCCTCGCTATTTATTTTATAGATGGTTGGTTTAGCAGTTGTTTCATATCATATCCTTTTATTTCATTCTCCATTCGGATATATATATTTGTCATTTGCTTATCCAATCTTGCAGCATTGGAAATTCTTCCACTGTCATCATTAACTCTTTTGATCATCATGTTGAATAGCTATGTGACTCTCCAAAAAAAATTTTATTTGCTTTTAAAGGTTCTCTTTCTCTTATTGTTTGATCTATAAAAATAGATTTATCTTCGAGATAGCAAACTGGAAAAATTTATTCCATCGAGTCATCGAATTATTTCGTATTTCTCGAAATTGCCTGGCCTACCGCTTGCCTAACACCTCATTCAAGTGGTTTTTGTCTTTTTCAAAATCTTCCATCCTAGTTTTTTTTTTTTTTTTCTATCCTGCAATGAGTGATTGATAGGATAATAAAGTAAGAGCAGAACAATACAGGATGAAGAATGTAATTTTGAAATGGATCTTTAATTGATCCTGTCACATTTTTAGATTGAATGTTATCGAAAGTTTTCACTTCACCACAGCAACCTGTGTAGTACCAATGTCTCCACTCAGTGAGAAATTTCTATAGTTGTTTTCAACGAACAGTTCATACATTCTCAAAAACTTGCTAGAAAGATCGCAATGAACGATTATGTTTCGCCTCACTCCTAATATTCTTCGAAATTTTCCGAATTAAATTAAACAATAAATTGTCTAATATTTACTGTCTTTTTAGAACGAAATGAGATAATATCTCATGAATTCTTTCTAGACAAAATCACTGAAGAAAACCCGCTTCTTACTATCTTATCTTGCTTTTTTTTTCATTGGCCAATTTATTATAACTTGTCCAAACGCCCTTGGTTAGCTTTGCTTGATTCGCTACTGACTACTTACTGTTAAAATGGATTCGTTTTCGTTTACATTTTCCCTTTCTTTTGTGTGAAATGAAACATTAGACTTGTAATTTACGACTCTAGAACGATTACCGCATTTATTCTAACATAGGTTCTTCCACTGGTAATATATATTTGATGTAGAAGTTTTGATATTACAGCAGTAACATTTGAAAGTGAAATATTTTGAATTGGAACCGCTTATTAATTTTTTTTTGTTTCCGTAAAATTCTCAACAGAAATTTCTTGTTAGCATGAGTTTAACAGTGCTTACTGGTACTGTTGTAAATTACAATTCTTCATTTTTCCTTTTTGAGCTGGGAGAACGGAATATTATGTTATAGCACTTTTAGGTTAGATACTATTATAAAAGGACGAATAGTCCTTCAGAACAGAAACGTTAAAATGTTGTTAATTTAACCTTTTACATATTGCTATCAAATTCCAACTCCTCAACTACGCTAAAAATTTTTCGGTTGTTGATTGAATTAAGCTTTCTAATTTTAATTCTTTTTAAATATGCATTCACACTTCTGAAGAACAAAAAAGAAATTATTTAACTAAAGGTTATTAAGAATGCTGTGCATCATTGTATAGTAATACTCCTTCTTTCGGAAGAATCCTTACAATGTTCTTCAAGAACATATCTGTATCAAATTCCTGGCAATTTTTACTTTATTTGTGAATCCTCGAAAATTCTAAAATGGAATTTATTCAGTTATCTTTCTTCGATGCAATGATAGTAGTGATATTAGGGTAATAAAGTTGTTTGAAAGTTACACTAAAGTGGCACTTTTACGAGGCAAATTGGATTGCCGCCAATTTATGTGGTTGTCCTGGTTTCTCAGTTTTCTCAGAAATATTTTGAATTTCGGACCGCAAACTGAGCTTTTCCAATAATTATTGAATTTGTAGAACTGGCATATGCTAGGGTTGGATTTTACGTCTTACCTCGTAACAGTATTTTTTCTTGGTAAAAGAAATGGTCAACTTTTACATATGTTAGGTGCAAATGACTGCATTATAGGGCCATCTGTCTCAATTAATTTAAATTTATTACTTTTATAATTTATTATAAGTAGAAAATTTGATATCGAAGTAATAAATATTAGGAAGTAGGGTAACGTAGCAATAAAATAACTTATGATCAGTAAATTAGTGGCAGTGTTGCTGAACAAGTAAGTAAAGATTAAGTAAATTGCTGAAGGGAAGCTGGTTCGTTCTGTCTACATTCAAAAATAAATGATATGCAGAGGAAGAACGATTGTTCACTCTTCCCTGCTAAATCCGTTTACTTCTACCCAAAAATTGAAGTAAATGTACCCTAGAGAAAAGGCTGCTGGACAATGACCTCATAGCATGGGAAAAGAACCTTGATAAGAAAGATGTTGTTAAGAGTTCTTTGTGAGAGTAGTATCGCGGTGTCATATTTCGAATCTCTCTCTTACCAGTACGATTCGCTTACGATCATCCTTGAATTTGTTCAGCAACTAATTATTCCCAACTTTTACGCCTATTGTCTTTTCATCCATTTATATACATACACTGCAATTCTTTCCTTTTTATACGTCAGCTGACCGTTATCTATCTGCACGTCTCATTTTCAGGAAGCTAACTTAGCCATTATATAGGAAGAGACTGTCATTTCGTCACTTTTCCTTCTGCACTCAAAAATACCATGTTGTATTAAGTGGGAGGAGGTTGAGTTCTGATAGCAATTTGGCATTAAAAAATTTTTATTAATAAGTTAATACATTCATAATGGATTGTAAGTGACACTGGTAGGTCCTACCTTGAATCAGTAGGTCATATTTTGAATCACTAATAATATTTATCATTCTTAAGTTTATCTCTCACCAAGGTTACCCCTCCCCTAACCGACGGAATCATTATTTTGTCATAAAAATTATTCAATATTACACTCTCCCCTCTTAAGGTCATTCCCCGCGATCAGCACCCAAGCAGTTGAAGTGCTCATTTGGCGATCATTGTTTAAACTCTCTTCAACTTACCTAGTACTCACTATATTTCTGCTACTGTAAACTACAACAATTTACATTTGCATCTGAATATATCCTTAGTATTTCGCAACTCTTCTTTTTGATATCAATTTCTAATAAATTTTATAGCAATAAAACGTTAAGTGGATCGGGAACGGTAATGGACCATCGAACACTGAAACAACGTGACGACAATGGTCCTCGAACAGTCAAAAATCTTGCTGCACACTTTCAAAATTTAAAAATATTCGAACAATTGCCCAAACTGTTGAAAGTATGCTTAAAATTTCGAATATATTTTGCAATGAGAATTGGAAATAAGATATTCAAAAAATCCTTGTCGTTAGCTCATTCCTTCCAATCAGCTGAAATTTTAGAAAAGAAATGATCTTCCGAAAACTCAGTCCTTGCCATTTTCCATACAGGTAACATATACTCTACCTACTATTTAAAAATGTTGCATGATTTAAAAAAGTTTCAGACTACGACAATCTGAGCAACAATTTGCCACCACCAGTTCGAATTACACCGTATTCAGGCGTTAAACCAAAGGTTTGCATTATTTTAGTTTATTCCTAATTTTGAATGTATTTTAGAACTTTAAATTTTAAAGTTACGGTTCTTGTACAAGTTTGGATGGAATAAATTGGCGCCCAATTATGTCACTAGTTCTGTATGAATAATTTGAGTTACAATTGGCTGCTGATTTTTCCAGAATACTTAGGAAGAGTTGTTGATTTGATTTAATTCAATTTTCATTCATATAACGCAGCTATGAATTCATTGACATATTCCCAACTTCTGAACTTTTCAACTTTCGAAATTAAATTTCAAACTGAATTAGAAATTAATTTTGCATGCTATAGTTGGAACTCATGATTGAAGAGAAATGTTGAACTGTCCACACGTTCATTTCAAAGTCGGCCTTGAAATTGGTTTTGGGGAAGTAGCGTCGCGAGGAAAGCATACGACAAGTTCCTTCCATTCATTTCACTCCTTCACATTACTGTCCTACACATACCTGTGCATATGTCTTTTTCCAAACAAAAAGAATACTTTACAATTAGAAAGAAAAATTCCATTCCTCTGAATAACACATTTATAGGAAATTTTATCAAGTTTTGGCTAAAAAAAGAAGGATGAAGGAGCTCTTTGCATACCATTCCGTTCTCTCCGTTTATCTTCCCGTATATTCCACTAATTGAGACAATATCATTCAAGGCATAACGCCATTACTGTTTGACAGTATTGGGCAAATTGAGAAGATGGAACTAAACCACGTGTTAATTCGCTAGATTCGGGAGGTCAAATAAATGCTTTGATAGCTGCACAAAATTCTACAGTGTTTATGAGGAACTTTCTGTCATGCAGTTGTTCAGAAATTAATTCATTTCTTCTCATATTATCGTTCTTTATTTAATAATCGAGCAGTCATATTGATTTAACATTTAGTTTGAATTTTGGTCGCTACTCTTATGACAGTTAATATGCTTTCTTATTTCTAAGAAATGCTAGGAAGAATCGTTGTAACAATGATCGGATCATAAGCAGTTTGTTCATCTTCAACTCATTCTATTGCTAGATCAGAATTCCACAACTTGACAGCATCTTTTGTAAACAAATAGGCACTGCGGTATGAAGATCAGGGGTTGAAATCAAACATCATTGGAGTAAGGATGAGATTGCATATATCAATGATTGATAAGAAAGCAGTACTTCCGATCACTTCTCATCCTTAACAAATATTGCGGATGGTTGCTGTAATTAGGGAATATATCATCAGGATCGGTTTCTAGTATTCGAATGAGAATCATTTTGGAAGAGCAACTTTAGGTCCACGCAACGATATATTCCCTAATTTTTTATGTAAAACAGTGGGAAGCGGGATGACAGTAGCAAAATTGAAATATTTCATACTTATTTAACTCAAGTAATTATTGTTTTTCACTACTTTATCCGTACTTTCACTCATTTATTCAGTGCATCCGTTGCTTATTGATTTTGTCAAGGCTGTTGAGAACTTTTACGCTTTTGTTTTTATTTACTATTTTCAGGACATGGATATTATCAGGCCAGTAGCATTCCGACCATATGCTTCACGCAAATCAGACAAACGGCAAACAGTTATCTCATCATCCTTCTCTTTTTATAACAGTAACAAGAAGAAAAATGATTTTTCAACAAAGCCCTCATCAAAGTAAGTATGATTTCCCGGCAGAGCGGTTATCAAAAGTTGGAATGTTCTTTTGAGATTTCTACGATAACTCTGTAAGTAGCGTTGCTAGTTGACAGTTCTGTAGCGGTTAATGGACTCTTCGTGAAGTGTCGGATTATAGACATCTTCCTCAGTCATTATTCAGTGATCCATTTTTAGGCATTGGATTCAAAACATCCAAAAGGTTTCTCCTAATTACCGATTTTCCCCTTCCTTTGTCTGTTTCTTTTCATTCTTCAGGAGAATCAAATTCATTCAATCCCACTGCCTTTATAGATGTTTCATTTATATGATGATGATGTTAAAACGATTAAAAAATTCCGTTTCTTTTATTGGACTTATTATAGCAGTGATGAATTGAAACGATCTTCACAACATTCGAAAGACACTGTGTCAAATGCTTCCGTACCATCATTACTTAATGGTAACAACAGACCACGAGCCATCTATCAACCATCAACCAGGTTTGGTAGATTTGGGAGATCATTCAATCCTCCTCATAACATTTTTGCCATGTTATGTTTGTGCTAGAGATTCTAATATTTTGCTTAGAAATTAAGACTTTGATGAAAGTCATCGATTATTATTTACATAGGCTTCAAAGATTCGCATGAATTATTTGAAATAATGCCCATTCAACAATTATAGCTTCCAAATGACATCAGCAATGGTTGCGGAGAAAAGATCCAGCAAATTTGAAGCTGAGGAGAATGATTATGATGTTGTGCCAGAATACATTGAACGCGACAAGTTCTACATTGATGGTTAATTTGCTATTTAGTTCTCGACTTTAAAAATGACTTTCAGTCACTTTGGCAGATTAATTTAAGATTATACATGAGCAGATTGATTGTGATGTGGATTGCTTTAAGCCAAACTTGAAAAGGACCAAAAGCAGGTTTTTAATTAAGGAATCCAGTTTTTCCGTTTTGAGGCTCATCACTTCTGAAATCATTCAAATCACACCATTATTATTTCTACATTATGAACTCTGACTTTCGTTGTTATATCGAATGAAAAATACAAAGCAGTTGTTCGTCTCCTTTTGCTTGTTTCCTTTTTTTGCTGATTCATTTAGGTTTTATATTGGCTTAGAATCGGTAGGAAGCTATTCATCTATTCAGCTATTCAGCAATTTCGAATTGCTGCATATACGTAATAGTTTACTAGTGATTGACTATCCACCCTCTTGATTCACTTTTCTGTCTTTCGTTTACCTCAAATAGTGAGAATAAAGTTCTTCTACAGATAGTCATACTTTAAGATCTTAAGAATTTATCCTTCAGAATTAATTTATTAGATTGAAAGGTATGTCTAGCGTTAATCATTAACGGTTATGTGAGGATTTAGATTTTAAATTCGAAAGTCTAGATTGATATTTAGGTCTTTCCTAAGTTTTGAATTTAGAACCCGTGATTATTGGATGCTTTTTTATTTCTTTTTAAGAATTTTTTTTCCGCTGGTTATTGTAAAATAAATAATTTACAGTGGATTCGTCAATCAATGAGAACTATTCTGTTGTACATTCGACGCCTTACTGTAGCAACCCATCGTCCGAGAGACTTCATGTTGTAGCAGCGACACCAAATAATAATACTAACATTAATCATGATAAAATACAACAGCAAAACGACAATGCAGCAGTCAGCGTAGGAGCAGGAATTTCTTCACTAAATCCTATCAAGGTTCATATACGCGTAACTTTTCAGTAAAAAAATTTTCTCCACCGCATACGTTCCTTTAAGAGGTTCGAGATGGTAACTTATAGTCAGTGTATCAGTAAGTCAGTAAATTATTTGATGTTTAATCATATCTTCGATTGTAGTATCTAATATATTTTATAACTGTTCCCAAACCGTAGAATACTTTTTCTATAATCCATATTCACTGATAGTTTTTTGTTCCTTTATAACTTTTTGATTCAGTTGATCAATTGATCCAGTTTTCGTCCTTTAAAGTAATTTTCAGCCCTTATTTTTCTGTTGTTTTTTCGATTTAGCTCATTGTGATCTGTTGATTCGTAGATATAAACAATGTTACTGTACTTGACAAATTAAGAAAAGAGAACCATGTGCTCATGTGCAAATATCGACATTCTTTGCAGAAATCTCCATCTTCACACCAAGTTTATGGTTCGAATGCTTCTTCAGGTAGTCGTTACAGTTCAGGAATACACGTCACACCTTCACCAAGCGATTCCGGTATTGTTGATTACGAGGTTTATTGGAATTTTCATTGCACAGTTTTTTTTATTCTTACAGTTTAGTCCACCTTCTTAATGATTACGTCATATAATCATCCTCATGACTAGATTGTGTTAACGAAGGATTGAGGAGAGCTTCCGCAGTTGCTGCAAACGCTACAAAGGTAGGCGTATCCTTCGGGCTTGCGCAGTGTATTTTTTAGGTGAGGTACAGCGTGCGCGGAACTCCCACTCTTTATTCTTAAGATTCATCTGCCAGGACCTAGCGAAACAGGACAGTGACAGTGGAGTCCTCAGGAAGTAGGTTTTGTTAAAGTATCCTTCGCTTAGGTGGTGGATAGCCTTACAGGGCTAAACGAACTCCATCTGACCGGGTTTGAAATGGAGTTGTTCTTCTAGGATGTTTGCCAGGCCTATCTTGACTTCGTCTGACCCTTCCGCTGAGACTGTCTGGCATAGTAGACCCTACTGGGGACATGTGCTACCGGCAGCAGGGCTCGCAATCTCATTAGGGCATGCAAGTCTTTCTCCGTGACAAGGTAAATATATATATATATATATATATATTTATGTATAAAACATATATACAGATATAGATAGACAGAGAGAGAGAATGAACTCAAGTCTGAAAATGAATAAGCTCTCGGACCATATACAAGAAATTGCTATGCAGTTTGCTTGATTCAAAGGAATTTTGTAAATGTAAATATGGGACTTAAAATCAATATTTAAATTCCGGAGCTTGATTTAATTTTCTGAAAATAAATTCTTGCTGTTTTATGGGAGAGACTTCTAGCATTTGTCCTAATATTTAAGAATTAATCCTTTTAAAAATCCATTCACTGGGTAGAATCTAAATTTCCATCATTCATCACTATGACTTTATCTAATATTATTAACGGATATGACGTTGTTTGCTTCTTTGTTATGCATATGGAGTAAATTTTTTTCTTTGTACTTGAGGTGACCGTTCTTATAAATCGTGCCAAATTTGTTTAGAATTTATGACGGTCTCGTCGATTCCATTCACTTTCATTTTCCCGAAACCCTTTAAATTTCGGGATCGATGCTGTTTCCGTTTTTGAATTTTTTTTTTCATAGACTAACTTAGTAGAAATTACTGAATTCTTTAATGCAACCTTAATATAAAGTCCCATGGAAAAGGCGAGATTCTGCATAGATAAGCTGGATTAGTTCGGCGTAGTAGTCAGTCAGTGGTGAATATAAATGGATTAATTTACTTTAAAGTACCCTTCAGACAATCATTCGAGATAAGGAGAACGAATTGACAAATGTACGAGCAACAATGGAACAGAACGAAGAGGTTTTAGTGAAAGTTTACCTAGAAAAAGAACGACTTTGGAAAGAGCAACTTGCTGATCTCAAACAAAAGTTGCAGGTCATTGTTTTTTGGTGCTGATAAATTAAAGTGTGTTCCTTTTACTGGAAGGCATAAGTAGGCTAATGTTTGTCAATTGCTCAGTTGTGTTTTTGTTTCAATCAAAGTTCACAAAAGATTTTCGGTCCATTACATTAATTAGTAATTGTTTGTCCCTAACTAAGTGTTTAGGCTAGCCAACAGGGAGAAAACGCACTACGGCAACAAATTCAGCGGTGTAATGAAGAACGAGAACAATTCCGAAGTACAATACAGAATCTTACCAGCGATAAACAAGGATTGCAACGCAAGGTTATGGTCTTGTCTTCATTCTTCTTGGAACTAATGAGCCACTTATAAAATATTCTAGCAAGCTTCAAGAGACTTGAAAGGAAAAAAAGGTGGTAGATGATTTCCAGATATTGAGAAAGCATATGACACCAGAAATTTGGCAGTCGTTACATTATGTATTACCGTACCGGTTTTTTGTAATGCTCCTCATAAAACCTGTGTTAATCAAGTAGGTTTAATGTCAAGGAAATTAATTTTCTAGTCTTCAACAAATTGTGTATTGTAGTGTTTGCAAATAGAACGTGATTTGTTTCAACTGCGTGAATGTTTTGATGAACTTATTCGAAATCGTGACGAAACTGTTTGCGGTCCATGTCGCAAACGCATTACATGTGATGTTACTGCAGCAAATACCAACAATAGTATTGCTGACAAACGTATTAGACCTCCATTGCCAACACCGCGGTATTCCAAGGTTTTCAAATATAAATTTTTATGAGGAAAGCTTATGTGTTTATTTGCGATCTTCTTTTCATTCCCTTCACATATTCCTTAATCTTTAATATGATAAACATAAATCATGCTGTTCTTTTTCATCAATTTTAAATTAGCTTCAAAATAAAACACAAAAACTTAATTTTGGTGTTCTTATAACACTAAACAATTTTCTAGGAACCGTCATCAGAACGTGAATTACGTAGTGAAGTCGAAGAGCTAAGAGCCGAAGTGTCAACCTTGCGTGATACACTCAATGAACAAATCAGCCTCTTTGCTGACGAAAGGAAACGTTGGGAAGAGGAACGAATTAAGGTGTTTATTTTAAATTTTTATGGGCATATTTCACGCAGAAAAATTCCTTTGATAATCTGAAAATATAAAAATTCTATAAATTATACAACCCGCTTACAATTTCATTGTAAGCGAACGAACAAAAAAATTTCCTAAAATGTTTTTTTTTTCCTTTTTTTCATAAAAACAAAGATAGTTGTGTATATGATCGTTTAAGAAAGTTTCATAATTTCCATTTGTCGTGAACTATACAGATTGTTTAGAATACTTTCCCTGTTCTACCCATATTAGCTGGCGCCCTTACACCCAATTTTAGATGAGTAGGAAAGTAAAGGAGCATTATAGGTTTTGAATAAATTTGGCTTCTGTCGATTTTTCCGTACTACTGCATTGTAATTTTAGAGCTAACTACCAACTGCTGAATATAAATTAATCGATTAATATAATTCATAGAATAATCTCGTAAATTTCGAGTTTTAAATTTACAGATTTTGAAGTCCAATAACTCGCCATCGAATCGGTTGGGTCTCTTGTCGACGAACGATTCTTCGTCGGCAGAAATAACTGCTCAAGTATCTAGGGATCTGAAAATTCTAACCGATGGTAAATCATATATTGTTAGCCATGATCGCCTAATCTGATAGATTTTAGGTACGAATTTTCTTTTTCGCATCATTTTGTTGTGTTACTGTAATCTTTATCCTTTTTATGTTGATAGATCACATTTGTTTGACTGTTTTCCGTTATCTATTTTTCCTTAAGTGAGGTGGTTTTCAAAGAATGGTTTTTTCCAATAAAGTGATCTATCAATAAATTTAAGTTTGCAATTATTTCTGTATAATCACAGATTCCGGTATTCTTTTTGACACATCAAAATTATTGGATTCGCTGGTTTGAAAAAAAGTGCTTTTAATCTAATTTATTGCATTTTTTCATGTCCTTTAGCTACCATTTTACATTCCGAACAAAGAATCTCATAGTAAACTTGGTGTTTCTGATACAAGCGGTACAATCATGTTCAAGCCTGATATTAAAACTGTGGATTTGAAACATATTAAATTCGCTTGATTAAGCACTTTAAATTATGAAATAAATAAATTGCTTTTAAATGTAATAGAGCACTTCGATACAGTTTTATCATTGTAACGATATGATCTCTTCTAGTGGAAATTATTAGGGAATTAAACAAGATCGCAAAAAGATTTGGACAAAACTTTCTAGCGTAAATTATCCAAGACTTGAACAAAGTGGCTGAAAGGAATGATAAACAGCTGGTGTGTAGTGATTGCATTACATTATGACACGCAGGCTCTTCTGATTAGAATCCATGCATTGGTAATGCGTCATCGTTGTAAATGTCTCCGCACTCAAAATCAGTAAAGCTTTTATGACACCACCCCTCATTTTTCAGTGTTTGCTCTCCGTTTAAGACAGAGAGATGATGATCAGGTGAACGGATAATGGTCCGTTTAGTGTTTTCGACTTTATGACCACTTTAATACGAATATTTATGAATCACCTCTACGAGAATTCTTCAGTGAAATAATCACTGTATAAAATCAGACAGGGAAGAAAGAGAGGGAAGGAACAGAGCTGAAGCGAGCTCGATTCATGACATTGGGAGCCATTTTCGGTTAATAGTGAACATTGGAAATTGATAAGCAAATCAGAATCCATGAAAGGCAAAGAAGTTTAAAACTACAAGAAGTGGATAAGAATTTGAAGCATTTAGTGGAAACAACTGAGATTATGATAGAAACTATGCACAATAAAGTTTGGAGAAACCAAAATTGTGATTGTTAATACGGGTGTTAAAGGATACTTTGTGATATCATTGCATTTATGCTTCACTTATATTCATCATCAACTGGAAGGTTAGACGCGGTGTATTAAATCAAGGATTTTTTTAGAGCAATTTCTCTTTTAAAGAAACTTGACTTTAAAATACAGGATAGGTTGATTTCTCTTGAATTAATGTTGGGAAGAATCATTTTGCTGCGGAATAAGCTGACTGCCATGTGTTTCGGTTATACTGATTGAAATGAAGGAAGTGTCTTTCAAAGTGAGTCAAAAAACTTTTGAAATGCTTTTTAAAGTGTAAAATGTTCCAATTGGATTATCCAAGAGAAGTTGTTAGTAAGACAGCAAAACAAATGGACGAAATAAGTGGGATTGCTTACGAGAAAGACCAAAAATATGATGAAAACTTCAAGCGTAAGCTGTGTCGCTGAAATCACGAGGAGAAGCGGTGAATCAATGATTCCTTTATTGCTGGATAAGGATATACTCTGTGCAATGTAAGCTATCCATAGTATTCGTGTGCTCTAACAATGAACTCCATTCACGTGCGTTAATAAAGGCACTAATTCTTGTAATCTCGGGACAGGATCTTCCGCACTCGAGGAAGTGGCGAGTCCTGAACATCGAAATCATTTTATAAATGTGTTTCAACAAGATCGGTTGGATAGACGATATTCGGGTGTCATTGGGTTTCCCTTTCATATTATTATCGTCATTAATTTGTCATATCGAAGTCGTAATTGTTGACTTCGTTGTTGTATTAAACAAATTTATCATAATAAAGGTTTAATTACCCGAGTTTGAGGTACTACCAACCAAAGAGACAGAAAGAACCCTCAATCTTTGTCACTGTTGAAGAAAATCCGCGACAAGCTGATTGTGCCTTCCGCAGTGATTCAACTGATGTCCATCATAGTAGAACAAGTTTTTTTCGCCGCATTTTGTCTCCATATTTGCCTTCCAAGTTCATCTTGTAGTTCATTCGCTCTGGTCACTTTCTTAATGGTTACTTTATCATTGTTTTAAACTCACTCATTAGAATGCAGCTGTTACTTTTGTCCCTTTTCCTTCTCGTCAGTAAACCTTTGCTCTGATTAAATATTAATCAAAGGAACTATTCGTATTTGACTGATATTCATTTTGAAGAGAACTTGTCGAACTGTTTGATCATTTATCTTCAAACAGAAATGTATTGTATCTGATGATTTAAATGATTAACTTGAATACCGTAGAATCTTTCTAGTAAACTAATAGTTAATGTTATTAGTAGCAATTCTTTCCTTTCACTACTGGACAATTTCGCCCATTTCTTTCACTTTTGTTATAATTCCTTAATTCTTTCAAGCAGCTTTGACACATTTAATTCACCCCTTCAAATGGCATCCAATTCAACCGCCATAAATTGGCTTCATAAATTGCCGTCATAATTAATATGAGCCAATCTGGTTTGACGTGTCATTACCATACATTACTGAAAATAGATGGTCATCTTGTTATGCTTGATCTAACCTTATGCGTCTTTTATATATGCTGCAAAATACACAAATGCTCAGAAGTATTAAACATGTGCAGAGTAGTGGGTGGACAGTTACCTCCTGTTTTATTGCCTCAGTAGAAAATGAACATTCTTTTTTCCAGTTTTTTGGACAAAACCACTTTGTTTATGATTTCCTTTTCTACCAGTAGTTGTCTAACACCAGTTTTCTCAATATTTTACATCTACACATCTATAATAATTGTATTAACTCCAAATTCTGCATGTAAATCAGTCTGAGAAAATAAAATAGAAAAGGTTTAAAAATTGCTTAACATTCAAATAAATTTGTGGAAGTGATGATGGAGACTAGCTCGTTCTACCATCGCCAATCATCTATTATCCCTTGATGGTAAGTGATGGCGATGGTTAAAAGCAAACAATGGATCTGATTTGTGATACCATGAATCAGCAAAACAAAAACAACGTAAAAGACGAAAAATTAATAGCTATCATTTCCATGACACTGCTCGACGACCAACCAAGTTTGCGTTGCTTCAATGATCCGGCCGTGCTGGTTTGTCAACGTTCCGCATTCTTATTCCCATTTATCGTCGCGAACGCTTTCTTTTTCCAGCTATTGTATTCTCCTCGAATCTATGATAACTTTTTCATTACATTTCGTTAATCCAGTCTTCCTTTACCATCCCATTTTGCACAAAAAACTGTTACAAGTTAGATCGTGGAGAGAACGGCGAAAGAAGTAACTTTTTTTCATCCCTTAAAGTTAAGTGCAGAACAGGAAAGAGATGTCGTTACAGCTATATTCCACTAATATAAGCTCTCCACCAGCAATAATAATTTCATATTCCATTTTTCCCTATCCCACATCTTACTGCGGTGAGAAAAAAAATTATAATGTGGTTTGCTTCTACAATAACATGCTTCAGGTATCACTGCTTCTTGGGGGAGCGGTCTTTGTAGCCAGAAACTTTCATCTTATACTGTTTGGTTTGGAAGATTATTCTTTCATCATGTCTCTTGAACGCCTCAAGGTTTTCTTCGACAGATCTTCGATCAGAGATTTGTTTAGAATCATTTTTTGCTTTGTTACTTTTAACTATAATCATTTCGCATACTTTTGTCCACGAAAAAAAAAGGAAAGAAACTCTATGAGTTTTAAGAGTGAGCTTACAGAAATGAAAGCTAAAGATTCAAATAAATTCTACTTAGATCATTCTCGAAAAACATTAAGTGTTGTTTAAAGAAACTCTATGAGATTGGTCCAATGAGGAAGAGTAATGATTCGCTCATGTAATCTCATCTAATTATCGCAAAAGGTATTTCACAAATAGCAATAGCAGTGGACACAGGTCTGGTTGGTTAGACCCTCATTCTTTCTTCTTCACTGTTTTCATGGTCAACCCAACTCTTCTATTTGCTTATGTCTAATTTTCTCTTCCATGGTCTAGCTCATATATGCTACAACTTTGTCACAGTTTGGCACATACAAATTTAATCGAATTTCGAATTGCTTCGGGGGATGATGGACATATGCAGGAGCAGCCCCCTTTACTTCTTCTTTTCATTTGAAACTCCACAACAACTTCATGCAATACCTGTTTGTTATGCAAACTTTAAAAATGTTACAGAAGCTTCTAGGGTGCACTGCTTGATGATCTGAAAAGAACTTGATGATAATCCATTTTTGTGTGCTTTGCTAATTGTTGGTCGGCGGAAGATTAAAAGTAACCTTAGCAATACTTTAATTTAAAATCACGACCACAATATTTTATTTATTAGTTTGTTTGAAATAAGAATTCCTTCTAACACGTAACATGTCGTTGTAATACCATGAAATATGTAGGTGAAAGGTAATGATGCAAACCTTGCACGACCATAATTTTCTGAATTTAACAGTTTATTGTAAGCCAAAAATATTTTTGTCTTGGATTTGGTCTGAGAGTGTAAGGCTTTTGTCTCTTGTATTTCTTACATTTTGATAGTAATTTTAGAAATTGTAGAGCCTTCCCAGTGGTCTGGTGAAGTTTGGAATGATTGCAATTCTTAACGATGTGAAAGATCAGAAATTTAAATATGTGAAAAATGATTGACTAAAAAAAATTCCAAATATTTTAACTTTTCTCTATCATGCAACCATTTCGATAGATGTTTGTTTCTGTTATACGAATCAAACTTTCTGTTTTTTTGTGCTATAAATAATTATATACCATTTCAGAGTCCGTCTTCTACTGGGAGCATGTTTCAATACAACAGAACATATGTAGGTTACTTGAAATGTTTTTCGATAATAAAATCAATATTTCCAAAAGAATAGCCAAATTTACCAAATATCAAAGGAATAATTTTAATGACGCCAAATTCTTGTCAAATATTAACTGTAAAAATATAATGAACATGCTTTTCTTACGATACAAACAATAGAAAATTAAATTACAGATACTTATTCTTGGAAAATAAGAGCAAATTAATTATAAAATCAGCGAATTTTTATATGCCAAAAATTTTTGCACAGTTATGAACTATTAATGGTTAGCTACAGTAAACTACAAATTAATACATTCCTTAGAAATTACGGAAGTTACAAGAATCACACGGCTATATATGAAGCAAAACTTTTTATTCTTGAATTTTACATACTCTTCAATCATTCGCATTCGTCATTTTAACACTTATCTTCATTAAGGATTTAATGAAGACAAGTTGTAAACAAGAATGGATGGGAAATGTACAAGAATATAAAATAATTACAACGCAAAAATTTCACCATAAATAATGACGCGTAACTATTACAAACAATGCCTTTATTTATCAGGCCTGTTCATTCAAAGAGTGGACATTTTCCTATTTGTTTGTTTTTTTTTTTCTCCGAAGACGGCCAACCAGTTTCCTTGCTTTGCTACGATCATTTAATCTCATCGCATGGAATGTTTTCTAAAAGCTAAAAGAAGGAAGTAAACGTTCCTTGCTGTTTCATTTCAACTAGATGATAATTATGATAGAAATTCCACTATTCATCACCAAAAAAAAAAAACCCATTTTGAAAGAGTTTGAACATTGAAGTGGACCCAGCATTTGCGACGATAGTGTAAACCAAGTTGCAAAAGTATCTAGGAACAAAATAATGCTATTGCTGTCATTTTAAATATTCGAAGTCAGTTAAAATTAACCATTCGTTCAAAATAAATCAAAATTATGCATCTACAGAATAGAATTTCAATTTAAATGCACAAAAAAGTTTGTAATTTTCGATAAATACGAGTGGTATTGAATGCTTTACACTAACACATTACAAATATTATAGCGAAGAGTTTCAATTGAGAAAATCAAAAATGAAATTCTTTTCTTATTGCTATTCTTTAAAAGTAATGGAAAAACAAGTCAATCAACAGTTCAACACTGGAACTTTTCATCAATTCAGAAAGGACTGAGCAATCATTCATTATAAAATGTATCACTAGCGAATAGAACTATTTTCGCACTCACTCATTACTCATTTGAATTGGGCTTAAAAACTTTTCCACACTTCAGAATACTGTAAGCGTGGTTCTGCCTTACACTCACATATTTTTGTTGAGAAAATTGAAAAACTTTTGAGTGTTAATGCGGGCATGGATTACATTATCGAGTAACCTACCCACCGATATAACCAGCCAAAATACCAGTTAGCAAACTTGATTTCAATTCCAGCTATTTGCTCCTTTCTTTCTGCTTCTGGAAATCGCCGTTTGGGAATGCAGCGGAGCAAATGATAATGAAATTGAAGTGCAACCGCCATTCAACAATTTGGATACACTTAGGAATGGTAATGTTATCACTAGAGAAGTTCGAAAACGTGCCGATGGAGCAGTAAAGCGACCGAGAGCTGCCGGTCTTGCAATGGTCGGAGTACCCTCAACTATCTTTACTTACAATCAGGCTGCTCTTGGAAGAATAGCTCAACCAGCGTAAGCTTTCCATAATGCTAACACTCTTCGACTCTTAAGTTTGCACTTTTGCACTCCTCAGGATGTCCTTGGAATACAAGAATGAAAAAATTTTTTCAGGAACAAAGACGAATTTTTAAGCACTGTTTACTTCAGAAAAATTATATAAAGCCATTGCAACCTGGTAGTCATTAACCAAACTGTCTTCTGGAATTCAACAGTTGATCATTCATATGGCAGTTATATAGTTTTCAGGATAGACGTTCGTTACTATGGTGGTGGTGGCGGAACTGGTAAAGCAATAATAGGTCAAGTAGGTGTGTCAATGATGGATTTTAACCCAGCTCTTTTTCGTGGCTATCGCGGTGGACCAGGCATCAAAATCCGTGCTAATCAACGTACTTTCCAGTACGCAAATACTCTACTGAGACAAATTCTTGATCGTGAAATCGTACATATGCAGATACCGGATGTGCATCAACGAATTGAAGAAGTACTTTCAAAAATCATTTCTTAATCATTCTTTTAAACTTACATATACAGTAAGCAAAATATACAGTAAGTGAGCAATACATATACAGTTACATATACAGTACATATACATATACAGTTACATATACAGTAAGTACAGTAACTGTATGTATAGCACTTTATGCGACTTTAACATGTATCATGATACTATACGGAATTTACTTCAGATTTTCGCTGAAGTGACGATATGCAATATCCATGTTTCAAACTATCGCCCACCAAACTGTCTGAATATATATCCAGCACCACCAAACCTTATTGTTGTTAATGTGGAAGACTTAGACATTGGGTAAAAGCATGAGAACCTTTTGATAAATCAAAATATTGATTTATATTTTAGTATTCCATGTTTAGTCACCGTTCCATTCAACTTTTAGAATTCTTTACTATCTATAATTCCCAAAAAGTGACCTAAACTAGCATATTGATTTTGTCGACATAATTTAAATAAAAAGTTTGAAAGTCAAATATGAGAGAAAAGTAATGATAATACTTCAGAGTAACAGGTAACTTAGACGGTATCGCCAATATCATATTGCCTATACAGCTTTGTGGTATCGTTCATGCTAACTTCTACCACGTTAGTTCAGCTTCATATTACAATTCATACAACAGTACTTGTAGCCTGGTTCAAGCAGTAATGTTTTTCCAAAATGATTACATGATATATTTGTAATGTCTTGTTGATCAAGCTGTTTAAACTAGGTAGCTCCAAATGAAAGCTACTGCATTTGATTAGAAATACCTTCTGAGACAATTTATTAAATCATTCTTTTCTTTTTTTGATTGATTTGCAATTTCATACTCTAGTTTCCCTCCTTTGTCGCATGCCTATCCAACCTTTACTGCATTAAATGTGCAATATTTTGATAATTCTTTGGATGGATATTTAAAGGGATCGGAGACTGATTGATCAATTCATAAATTATATTATATCCACCTATTTAAAGTTCCGAGTTACTGAATCTTACATTTTAAACATTCTTTGTATCGAAGTAATGCGTCACTACTGTACTCTTTGCTAATTAATACTTTAATTTCTTTAGCTTAATCAGCTCAATTGTTTACTGGTTATAAGTCTTCCAGGTATCCGCCAGTATAACGCTAAAACTAGAGCCTTCGGCGTATGGGACACCTCAAGTGGTCTTATGTGGATGTGATATACAAATACCGTTTGCCGATGTGTGCATCGAATGTGGTGGTCTTTTAGGTACCCTGGCAAATTTGTTTTTTCGGGTAGGACTTGGTATTCCAATTTCTTAGAAAATACAATTCTTTTTTTGAAATTAATAATCGGAATTAACTTTTGTATTTCCTATTTAGTTGCGTTTTAAATTCTCAGCATATATAGCGCTGTGAATTTAAAAAGTGACTAGAAAAAGTAAATTTACCATTTCGTGAAAGAAAATAGTAACTGACTTTCAGCAAGATATTTCTAAACGAGTACGTTCTATGGTACCAGGTCGTGTTTGTGCGATGTTACCACAGATAATCAGTGAACGGATCAATCCTATGTTAGCTCGTATACCACAATCAGTTTCATTTACACAGATAGCATCCTTGTTCACAGAACTTCTTGAAGGATCAATACCAGCTCATGTTAGTGATTGGATATTTTGCTTAGAAATGAGATGAGTGAAATTTCTTCTGAAATATCTGGAGTCTGAAAAGGAGGAGAAAAACAGATAGTGATAGAAGCAACTAATATAACACTCAATGGAAAGCCAAAAATGATCGCAGCTGAAGAAGACTCGAAAATCATATAAAGCTAAATTTTTAATAAAAGATAAACAATAAAGGATTCAGGCATATTAGGCAATGCTTGACAATAAAATGGAAAGGCACCTTATTTGTAGGAAGAATTCAGTTATCTTTACAATAATTTAATGCTATAATCATTGTAGTAAATAAATTTGCTTACAGCATTCCCTTTTAAAATGCTGCGCAAATCAGTTTCTTTTTCACACATATTTTGATTTCATATGGCAGTTTCAGTTTTTAAGCTTGTAGAATGCAAAAAGTAAATATTAGATGTCGAATCCTTCTCAAAATATGAAAAGTGTGCTACGTATAAAGTAGAGTAGTAATATGCTTTTAAATATAAGAGGAAAGAGATATAAACAAAAGTTATATCTGCCGCTGCAAAAGTTATACTTCAGTGTCGCTCGCCACAGTGTCAAGCACATTTAATGAGGACAAAATTATCGCCAGGCCATAGCGGTTTCGGCGCTCCGCCACCAAGAAATCCACCATTACCAGCGTTCAACCATAGTATCAGTGCAGCTACAGGTTCTAAAAACAGTATGGCCAGGGCTATAGCTTTTGCTCCAACCCAAGTAGTTGCACAACAAATACAATCGGAGTTCCAAGACAATGTTGGAACGAAAGGAAAAAGAGCGCAATTATTTGGAACCGGTAGTGACAGGCAAGTTGATAGTGGAACTTCTGCTGTATGGGGCATCAGAGATGAGCGTGAAAATCATGCGGAACATTTCACCGGCAGTGGATTAATGACAAGAAGTAATGCACAATCTTTCGGTCAACCAACACAAATGGTATGATATTTAATTTACATGAATTCATTACATTTGAACTGACAAGAGGTATACATCTGCTCAGAGGTTTAAACGTCTAATATTCATAATATTAATTTTCTTTTATCTTCCTTTTCGCATCTAACTGTTTATTAACTCAGCAAATTTATTTTATTTTTACTAGCAAATGAATATTAGACGTTTAAATCGTTTTCAGAGAAAATAACATGATATAATTGCCGGTACATTCATTTGCAAACAAGAATAAAATAAGCTTTCGGGGGACAAAGAAAACAAGGAGATGAATAAAGCGCGACTTCAAATTATTTCAAAAATATAATTGCACCGAATTGCCTTTTCAGATTCTTAGTACTCTTGCGCATCCTTTTGCAAGAAAGATACAAGGAGTAGCTAGATCTGAAAGTTTCTCGTCAAATAATACCATAGATTGGGGAGGAACTGTTCATCCACCCATGCAGCAATCACAGCAGACTATAATACTTCGCCTGACACCGAAAGAGCTGTACGCTCAAGAATTACGGCGGCAGCAGCAAAAAGCAGTTCAGAAATTACCGGTCCATTTGTCAGCATTTCCGGAGTACAATTCAAAATCAGTCCCATCTTCTGGACAATACACCGTAACATCATCCGATCAACTTAACAAATCGGCAGTGCATGGTGTACCGGTAGCTGTATCGGTCTCCAAAGGTTATGGTAAGCTTCCCGGTGATTACAAATCAGGCGGTGTATTCCAAGCTTTTGGGGATGTTGGTGGTTTCAAAGGAAGAAGTGATCCGTGTGCTGGATGCCCAGTTGATTCATTTGGTGCTATTGGCAATCTCATCAAACAGCAGCTCGATCTGGTACTTTTCACCGACCTTTTTACGTATACTTTTTAACCTATATTTATGTCTTAATCTACTATTCAAGCTTTGCTAATAGTTTGAGCGACAGGTAGAATATATAGCAAAGGAGTATTGTTAATTAAAAGTATAAGTGATAAGTTACAACTTTATTCCAATTATGCGATCAATCGATATTACTAATTGCTTCGATTTTCCAACTCTGCAGCGTATCAACCAATAAATTTTTTTTGTTTATTAATGATGAAATAAATAGTTCAGAAGAAACAGTTTCTATTTGCTTGCCTTTGATTTAACTTCTACTGATTTCCATTATTAACAACAAATTGAAAATGAATCAAATTCATATTTTTTAAAACCTCAATATTTAAATCCTTTTGCAGAGAAAAGTAGCAAATCTAGTATTAACGACCCAACTGTTGCGGACTTATGCAACCTTCTATGATTACAACTTAGACTTGAATGGCGAATTCAGTCCTAATGGACGTGGTGGTACCCCATTTGGCCCATTCCCAATGCAATGGCCTACATCAGTCGGATTACCAATGATTGAAATCCTGATTAGTGATTTCACTCTCAATTCTCTTCTGTATTGGATGCATAGGTATTACTTCCAACGTTCTTACTTAGGAAGAGTGCTATGGGACATCACATAATATGAAGAGGAAACTGTTGCTCCACAGAAAAGAAAGCATTGGTCTTGTCGATACATAGCTATTGGAAAGATTGTGATCGATTTTTTTATGCCTATTATGACTTATTTTCCTCTGATATAAGGGTTTTAAAAGGAAAGTCCTTTTAGAACCAACTTCCTATCGTTTCGCATAGGACCAGAGACACCTAGCATTGGACCGTTGTTAACAACAACGTGTGATGTCAGCAATGATTACTCAGGAGTTCGTTTACCTGTTCATTTTTTTTAAAAGAATGAAAGATCACAGCAACCATTCATTTGGGTAGGTAATATATTTCTGATCTATTTCCCAGCTCCAGAAAATTTTTGAATTCCAAATTTCAATTGAAAATTAATTTGGAGTGATCAGATAATTTAGTAGAAGTTGAACATAGCCATTCATTTGCTCGGATAATTTTAGAAATAAGACTCTATTTCCAACTTATTATCATATAATATGGGTCAGTCACTTTCTAAAAATAGAAAATGATGAAAATATTCCAGGACGAGTCCGAAAATGAATCACTGTTACTTCGGCTATTACGTTTGAGTCAACGTCGTCGTCACTACAGTTATCATCAGCAACGTAGCAAGCGTCAGGCGATTACGGGTGGTGACTCGAGCGGTAGTAATTCTGGAAGTCTGGGTGATCTGGCTGATCTTGGTATTTGTCTGGGAGACATCATGCCAGCTGTCAAAGAGAAATATCCGAACAGGACATTAGCCCTTTTTGTACATTCAACACGAGCACCTTCAATCACATTTAGTAGACGTGGTGGAGGTATTACTGCATTAGTAATGTATGCGAATCATTTCACTGTTTAATTCCCATAAACTTTATGGTAAATTTTGGCTTACTTTCAGGCAGCGTACAGTTAGATTTGGTAGTATTTGTTGATATCTATTTGGATAAAACAAATGTGCGAGTTGGTACCATACTAGTGACAGCAGCTGCTGATATAATGCTTCGAATAGTAGGTCGTCGAATAATTGCGAATGCATCATTGCCATTGCTGAAACTGATCGATCGAGATCAAACACTGGGTTTACAACAGGATGCACTTGACAATTTAGCCAGTTTAGCCAAAGACTTGATTCTAAAGGTATGTACTATCTCTGTCCTACAAAGTTTACGGCACTTCTACATTAACACCTGCACTACTGACTGCTCCATTATATACACTCATGTACTCATCTTTCAACTTTGCTGGTTCCGAAATTCGATGTTATTTCAGGCAGCCAATCAGCAATTCAGTAGAGGCATGGAAATATCAGTGCCGACATTAAGTCTCCCTGTAAATATAGCTAATCCACAGGTCCAACTACTTGATCATTCTATTTATATCGGTAGTGATTATACGATAGCACCGTCAGCAATACAAATGCTTTCATAAAATATAAATTGTCTTCATGGATGATGCAGTTATGCTCTTACGAGTCTGTGAAACCCGGTCTTTTCTCTAAACGATTTCAATTTTTTAAAATTCATTGTATTTTCAATCACCATTTACGAACAAATCTTATTTGCTTTTCGGATTTTAATTTGGACAAATTCCCAACAGTCTTCTGTTTTGAACTGAGGTGCGTGTTATTGATACACATCTTGTGATTTAAGAATTATACCTCCTCCAAAGCTTTACCTGCACACATACACCATTTCTTACGAATCATATTGTTTAACATTAATGAGGGTCATGCTGATTTCCATTTGAGAGGCATTCTACTCTTTAACTAAACAACTACCTCAACAGTTGTTTATGTCTAACTAGTATTAATCAGCCTACCTTCGTCATACTTTAGACATATGCAGTTCAGTGTTTTTGAATCGCTTACAACTACTTGCTCCCCGAAGTTTGATAGATCTAAATCCAGAATCGATTTCATGTAATCGCCAAACGAAGAAGGAATTCTCCCGGAAATCAAATCAACCAGCAACTAAAATTCCAAAAAAAACCATCTCCACTCTTTTTACAACCTGGTGCATGATTACAATGCACTGTTGGGGTAATCAGTTGTTTGCCAGATTTGTTATGACATTTCTAATGCTCACTATGACATCGTGTATAATTACTGTATTTTATCCTGTTGCACTAAAATCTTGAACTGTTTTAAAGCTTGCAATAGCAATTAAAACTCAGAAATCTCAAGACATCGGCACTTCCACTGCGATCAAGAAACTGAATGAATATCGCAATTATAGAAGTAGCTGCAAAAAAGAACTGCTCCCACTGCTCCATACTACACTTGAAGCCATCTTATTTTGGTCCAGCAACAAAAGATAATCCAGATAATACAGTAGTCCCTTTCATTATTAAGGTGCTTCTGATCTTTCAACAATCTTCACTCCTCTCCAGCAGAAATTACAACCACTACACGTTCGTAACACCACCGTATTCGCTTCCAAGAGACAGCAGTTATCGGCCCGAAATGTTTCCACCACATAAGCCCCTCGGTACTACCGCCTTACTGTGTTCTTCCTCCTCCGTCCATCCTATCTGAGACCTGCGTCTGACTGGAACGGCAATTAGAATGCACACCAACGTTATCATTTCCGAATCCTTGAATTACTCCTCTCAGAAGGATAAATTGTTCGCTTTTGGTGTCACCACTCATTTGAGAATCCCTCCAGTATTGTTTCATAACTCTGCAGTTTCAGAAGGGCCAATACCCTATCGACGAGAAGCCCATAAACCTCGGCTTTACCCTGACCCACTCCAATAGTGCACGTCACCGACTCACGATTTTGTGTGTTCCAGTGTGGAAATGACAGGAAAAAAAAATTTATTCAAAATCATCGAAAAATGCGGCATTGCAAAAAGGCTCCAAAATGTGTATTTTCGAAAACATATGCAGCGAAATTTTTATATTATGATTGAAAAATATTGCGAAAAAAATTTATCGTCGAAAGTGCTGCGAAATCGCAGAAAAAGTTTGTTCGAGAAATGATGATATGGCGATAAATAAAAAAAATCACCACTTAATTTAACTGCGATTGTCGCATATAAGTTTTCAAATCGAAATATGAATATTTACTACTTACGTACTACGAATATTTACTTGTTAAAAATTAAACTCTGAAATCCAAATAAGTTTTACGAAATTATATGTGAAAATGAAGTTTAAGAGCTTCAAAAGTCACTTTGTTTCTTTAAGGACTTCGTGGGAAGTGTAACTTTTTTGCACCAAACCAAATTTTGATGTATATGTAAATGTCTGTAATATAATGGCTTTTTTTACATTCAGTACAGTGACTTTAGCTTAGAGTTCCAGGTCACAACTTGAAAATATTTTGGACCTGATCTGGAAAAAATTCCTTAGCACCTTCCCTTCCTGAAAACACCAAAACATTTTGGCAGGATCTAGAGTGGAAAATCAACGGAATACTTGCCCTACACTAATCACCGGAAGCACGATAACGAATGGAATTTGGTCACGCAATTCAATTAAGGGTAATTTATCCCGAAAAACAGTTCCAAATTTACTATGACCATCCGACAATACTTGTTAAATGATATCACGATTTCACAATATCGCAAACATATCTTCTAAAATATTTCATGAATCCGACCCATTTTTTTATCAGTGGCTAAAAAAAATCAGCTCAGAATACATCTGGAGAGAATCACCTTAATTCCAACTCACTCACTTCTTAGTTTTGTCCCCTCAGTATAACTGTATTCAGCAGCCAAAAACTTCCAAATTTCAAAAGCAATATAATTGTCACAGAAATACCTTTACTAGGATCTAATTTTCGACACTACTTTTTCCTAAAATAAAAGGACGTGGTAGAAGTAACACGAATGTCAATCAAGGAAGTACAGTCTGGTCGATACTAATGAACAGGACGAGGAGTACAGGCATTCAACCGTCCTAGAACACCAACTCATCCTAAACAACATTTTAAAATATAAGCTAAACACATGTAAATGGGAACCGTCCAAAGAATCTTACAGCCTACCTAATTTGAATTGACGCACGCCACACGCCAATGAGAGAGCAGCTGTCATAGAAGACTAGTGCTTCCATGACTCCAGAAGTCCTAGGGTTTACTTACACTAGCCTACAAACAATGTCTACAAATAAACTAACTAATGCTTACAGAAAAACTAATTGATTATTGAATGAAATGCTGAACTACCTAAATGCCTGTACAATTTACCACATTTCGACCAGTTGTCTTACTTCTCGTTGACAAACATGACATTCTATCATGTCCGACTATTTCAGAAATGGAACCCGCAATCATTTCTGATTTCAAAGGGAACTCTGCTTTCTATAGAGCTGAATCCCTTCATCTGAAATCGGGCAAAGAGACACTGGCACAATGATCATTCGAAAGAAGCAAAAGCAAAGGAAAAGAGATGCATCGGACCAATATTTTGTCCACCGCAATGCTGAGTAGTACTAAAACACCCATCGGATTATGGTTCAAACTAAAGTTTGGAAGAGCCATACAAAGCATAGAAAGATAGAACGCAACAAGAGTATTTCGATTACTTCGAAAAAGTTCAAAGTTATTTCGGTTACCACCACCAGCCCTTGTGACAACAACGGTGCAGTGCCTTGTTCTACGACCTAGATAATATGTACGACTCCGGAATGTCATAAAAACAATGCACTTATCCATCGACTACCTAAAAAACAGATCTCTGAAAGTATGCATTATATGATAAACTTTAGAACTACCTAGCAAATGTATCACGGAAGAACTAGTATGTCCTACCATCGTTTCATGAAATACTACTTACTATAACTAAGGCCTAAAAATGAAAAAGTCACCTCCTAGAACTTACGATAATTGAGTCCTAAAAGATCTCACGCCTATTTCATATTAAGCTCAATTTCGTAAAAACATTTCTAACTGGAATTACTACGCCACACCGCTGTTTATCGCATTCAAAAGTAAAATTCGAATATAGCCAAACGTCTCAACATCAAAACAAAAAAAACCCGCGAAACTCCTTATAGTTCTTAAAATCATGCTAAATTGGTATATCGGCACGCGTGTTCTTGGGGAGAGAAGATTGAACCACGCGATTGCTCCAATTTTTCAGAACCTTTCTTGCTCGACAATTTGAAACAGTCTGCATGAAATTCTGCATGAAATTCAGAAATTTACAACTTGGACCTTTTGAAAAATGAGGTTAGCTTATTTAATGGAATATTCCTACAAACAACTAAGTGACAAAACAACTACAATAATTCTTACCCATTGATGTCAGCAGATTCCAACAACATCCATTAACACTCAAATCCCAACTCCCAGACTAGTCAGTGACCGAAAAATAACGAAAGTGAGGTGCAAACGCAGTCCCAAATGAAAGCTAGAATCACAACTGTCCGCACCAGTGAAGAACAACACAATACCCGATATAGGAATCGAAATCGACAAGGAACACAAACTACAGAAAACGTCTCACCATTTATCCGAATATATTTTTAACGGTCACAGAGTGCATCCCACAAGAAGCTTGGCCTTCTGCAAGCGTCTCTTGACAGTCTTCAAACAAATAGCACTAGTAATTGGAACGTCTAGACATCCGGAAACTTCTCAACTCCGAAGTCATCGTGCAAATTAATAGGATAAAATCAAGATTATAAGGTCCGTAACACTCACCAGCAACCTTCTCCGTCCTGTTCTTGCGGAATGAATCAAAAGGAAAACGACGAGTAATGCGTTCTGTTCACCAAACTAAGCACCCCCGCAATACACCATTTTGACTACCTTTTTTTCACGATAGGAACTCATCTTTCCTTTGCACTGACACCTCAATTTCAAATTTATTGTCTCCCAACACTTTATCCAATTTTATTTTAGAAAGTTTTTTCACATACACCAATCCGTCACAGAAAAAAAAGACAAATCAAAGCTTGTTTGAAGTTCAAATCATTCCCAGTTCACCTTACCTAGAAACTTCACTACAATATTGCTAAAAGCTGTTGTAACATAAGCTGACACCAACAGAATATTTGCGTTATATCATATCACTAGTCTCCCAAATTACCAGTTCATCAAGTTAGCTAAAATAGTCGTCACCTACAGCAGAATCCAAAATTTGATGGCCTTGCCATGTTCGTCAAATTTACACAGCTTGTGTTTTATTTCGCAGTATTAGTATCAACACTAAGTCGATGTGAGGGCACGCATTCCCTGACCATCAGAAGTCCTCAGTAGAGAATTCAGCTACCTTAATTCAAAGTTCGAATACTTAAGGTCCCTCATCCCAAACCACTGAACAACTTGTAACCTAACCACAGATTGTTCGAAATCACACAGGGCCGTTCAGAGAGAACCTAGTGTCACCTGAACCAGTCACATAGATAACCAGATTGACTGCTTACAACATTTACTACCATAATATCCTCAAACTTAAATGTCTAGTGAACAGTTTTAGTCAGGCCAAACAGTAACTAACCCCACAACACCATTGCCCATTGCCCCAATTCGCTTTATCGGTAACGGTAGACAACTCATACCATGCAAATTATTTTTCTGATTCAAAACAATCACGGTTTAACCGTTCTTACGGACGGCACCAACTTTCCCCAGGCTGATCCAACGCCAGTTTAAACTTGGACAGTACCCCTAAGTCAAAATTTCACAAAAACATTTGCTTCGCAATGATGCCTAGCCGTTAATGAATCCACGAAATCTAATCATTTCGGAAGCCCGAGAAGGGTATGGACACCAGAAATGAAAGGTTTAATTTTCAGACCCCAAACCGATGGACTGCAATAAGATTACTTTTCAGTTGTCTTCAAGACTGAAATCACAGGCGAACAAAGTCCGCTTGAAATTTATGAGACCAAAGCGATCACTTCGCAACAGCAACATCTTTCAATAAACTTCGCATATGGCAACCAGTTAACCGTTTTTTATCTCAAAAATATACTTCAGCGATTATTTTTCACCATTGCACCCGCCTCTTCAGAAGTACTCATTTCCTCCTGCTTTTTTTGACTACCGCCATTTCACGCTTCACATCCTTTTCTTGTCCACTATTCTCGTCCGAAAAAGACACATTTACTACTTAAAAGCATAACCACCATTTTATTGTACTACTACACGTGATGGAAGGGGTTCAAGAAACAATTACCAATTCATCAATTACTGCTATTACTTACAATGTCTAACAACGACATTACTTTCCAAATACAAACTATGTGCATATTAAATGCTTCTAATGAACGACCATGTGCAAATTACAAATGCTGCTCATGAGTAAATCTTCCAAATAATTTCGAAACCAAATGTGGAAAGCATTTAAGGAACTAAGAATTTGACGATCGACGGATTTTTTTTTTAATCAACAGCACCCACAGTAGCGAAAAACATAGTGGAATGAGTAAGGCTAATTGCTATAACCACTGCTGGAGTTACTGAACTTGCTTCCAATTCTACGAACTTTTCTTCCCTTCAGATAAATGCAGCATCTTCCATTCATCAAGTTTTGAAATGAGTGTCAATTTTTCTTCGCAAGTTTTTCAAGACAGGATACCCCGGTTGTTCTATTCGGTCTGGACCCAAACTTCGTAACGTAACAGATCTCTCGGGTGTTTCTGTGCCTCACTGCTCCACGGTGACGCTACATAGTAACTCAGGTATCGTCTTCAACCCTATCTGAGGATTACTCAATCTCTTCAATCCTGAAAATCTCCAATTCATTGGTAAGCACAGTCATTTGGGACATCCGTCACCTAAAAACACCCAACTCTCCTTAGCAACTTTAATTATATCCGGACGAATCAAATTCAGGAGTTCGCCACCTCCCCACCTCTCCAATGTCCCAAAAGCTAATTACCGACAACGGAGTGAAGACACAACTCCATTACTATTAGAAATTTCAAAATTGGAAACCTTAAGGCCCTCAACACCGGTCCCAATGTTTCAGATCTGCAATACTAGTACGCGCTAACTGACGTCCTACCATTCATTCCTTACCGTACCTGAAAACAACACCATTTTTTCGGACACAGATGAAAATGAAACACTTTGGATGTAACATCTAATCTACCTACAACCAAATAACCACGACCAGTAGTTTTAGGGAACTACCAATTATTGCGAACACTATAATGTGTGTTCATGTACAACTGTCCACCCGCTGTAGGGATTTCACGAGAAATGACCGACCATTCATCTCCCCTTTTATTCTAGCTCAGCTTCTGGAACACTTACCTTGATATACTCATTGATCCAATCTCCACGAAACTGGTCTTCACCCTGTCTTCCTTTTCCCCGACATACCGGAACAACACATCCAACACATCTACCCCACATCATTGCGGAATCCATGTCCCTTACTACCCACAACGTCTTCAATGAACTCCCAACCCACAACATACCCAACTCTCCCCAAACCCATCGCAGAAACCCGAGAATACCCGACCACTGCCATCAATGCAGGATGATAATAGCATCGCAGTCTGAAGAGCAGGTTTATATACGAGCCAAACGACTGTTCTCGAAATTTCTGGAGAACCACCCACTGCGTATCGAATTTTAAAATGTATTTTGCGCAGGAAAATAAGAGTGAGAAAGTAGACGGGTAGATAGTATATAAATAGCGTATAAATTGAGAGAATGCGTTACTGTGTGAAAATGAGAGTAAGGGAAGAAGACGATGTGACGAATTGAGAGAATCGTGGTGAAACTGAGTATCAGCTGATCGATTAGTGTTGGGATGGACCTAACCAATCGATAATAGGCAGATGTTTACGATCAATTTAGAATGGCTAGATGGGTCGGTGCCACTTGATAGATATTTCTGTGAACTCTGCTGATGCTTTCCAAAGAGGAGGGTGTTGTTAGCATGTCCTGTTGTCTTAATTCCGTAATGCTTCGCAACCTAATCTGACTCAGTGAAAAGCTCTTCGAAGTTTTCAATGTTAAAGGTTCGGGAGGTTCGGGGTCGGTCCTCATTTCTCAGTTTATTTCTCATTTAGCATCCATACTGTTGAACCATGCTGCTGCAATAATTCAATTCATCTGGTGCACTTAGTGAAAGTGGCTTCTGTTCAAGTGAAGTAATCAAGGGATCTGAGTTACGTTTCATGATGAATTCGCGGTGTCAAACCGTACTTTACATTTCAAGATGTTTGTTCCTAAACGGATTACTAGGAGAACCATAATTTGCTATTCGAGTGACTGCATAGCATTCGATTCCTTGTATGAAGTCCAGCCGTGGAATAGATCCACAAATTCAAAATTAACAAAGCTAATTGAATTTAAAAGTTGACTTAAAAATTATTCACGGTTGTAGTCGGAAAATGGCTTGCTGTATTTATACTCTTCGAATTTATGGCTTTCATGTGCTTGACCGGCTTGGATTTTAAGCATGATCCGTAATGTCCATATCCATCCCTTTAAATTTTGGATGAAAAAACTTAAACCTCATATTGGTTTAAATACTGTCAGAAGTGATCTAAATTAATGCAATAAAGCAAAAAATGTGAGAGAAATTAACATAGCCAATCTCATTCGCGGCTTCCTTTTCCAGCTTATTCTTTATTATTTATTATGTGCTTAACTTCATGATATATAATAACAAATACACAAACACATAGCTCGAAAAAGAAAAAGCGAAGGTCACAGTACAAAGTCCAAAGGATCTTCGAAATTGGTTGCAGTGTTTTGAAGGGAACATGTGAACTTCGGATTTTGGGTCTTAGAGATTACCCAGATATGCTGATTTCGAGGGGTCATATTTGAAGATATACTGAACTGTTCAGTCCGTGCAGATAATCTATAATTCAAGTTCTGAGCCATCCAATGATGTTTTTTCACCCTGCTTTGAAAGTAGGAATTCCTATGTTGATATTGTTAGTCGTTTGCAACCAACAAATTATACACTGTGAGAATTATCTGTCAATTCCGAACTAATATTTTACATTTCCATTAATAAGGGCAACAAAGACCTGTGTGACCCTTATTAGCATTGCTAAGCACTTTTCATTTACAAAATAACAGAAGCCCGCATCAGGTGCAGAATCTTTTATCAGTCAAATTTATACCGTAAAGGGTAGATTTGGATGGAAGGGAGACCGCAGATCTCTTGGGGGAATGAGGGAATGGAGTATCACCTTTCTGTTTTTTTTCCGACATGGAACTTTTTTTGGCCAACGAAGGATGATCCACGTAGTGTTATGTAATAAGGCAGTCGAAATCAATGCAAAATAAGCAGTTGTGCTGAATGAAAAAAAAGATGAATCCCACTGGATTTGGAAACGATTGAATATTTGATTTAGTGAGACGAACGTCCATATAGAACAGAGAAATTATGTCGGTCAATGTGGCAATATTTGGAAGATTTCAGTAAAATCTGAAGACGTCAAGAGATGCCTCATGCGTTAATATGAAGTATCTCGTGAGAGGTTAAGGGTTCTGATTGCTGACCAGCTGGATGAACTCCTGCATGAACTATACACCAAGAGAAGTTTCCTCTCAAAGTTTTCTCTCTCATCAGTTTACTTCAGACTGGAAGAACAGTATTTAACTTGCAGCATCAAGCACACATATTGGTCGTTCCTTTTTTTTGGACGTTCCACTAATTTTTCGAAAATTTCGATTAATTTAAGAGCTAGATTTATCTCCTTTGTAAAAAACTAATTTTATTGAAACGTCCGAATTTTCCAGATCATAGTTATTCGGATGCAAGCAGAAATCAGATTAAAAAGGATTGATTTGGAAGAAGAAAAGAAGGAATGCATTCATCAGCCTAATCTACGGTCTCTGGAGACAACAGAAGGAACGTTATGCATTTCTCACTGAATTTCCTAGTATTTATCGGACTTCTGCATGATTGGAAATGAATGTAAAATCAAAATCCTAAAAGATTTGTAGAGGAAGTTGTTGATGGACGAAACGAAAAGATTTTGCTTACAGTTTTGGTTTGCATATTCCGCGCATACTGGCATCTTTCGATCTAGTGACAAATATTTTGTTATTCGTGTAATATTCACTGGTCGCACAGGCTTCAATGCATGCATGCAGTAATCGTAAAGCTTAGCTGAATCCTCGATGTTTTAAGATATGTTGGAGTGTTGAAGAGTAGCACTTAGTTTTGGGTTTTTCAAACTTTTAAAGGAAGTAAGCAAAGTGATGAATCCGTAAGATAAAATTTTAACATTCTACTGCTTTTAATTCTTTCATCGTTCTGTATGTTTACATAAAATAATCAACATAATCGTAATACTTTAATGCTTTAACAGGAGTGTAGTAATGTGGAGTAGTACGTTTCATAGTTGGTCATTGTAGACTTTTTGCTTGGAAATATATATAAGCAATGGTTAGTATTCCAGTGTCATACTTGTTTCCCTATACGTTTTTCTTATTCATTTTCAAACATTTTGTGCCTCTCACTGTGCTTTCAGTGCTATGAGTTTTTCGTTATCATACAGGTAGGTATTTTTTTTTTCAGAAGTACTTGGAATGTATAACGATTGGGAAAATGAACTGTCTTGCAAATCATTGGCAGTCAATAATTTAGTGCACTGATGAAATCATTCAAAATTTGTCTCATGCAAGCTGCAAGACGAATCAGTGGATTCGAAGGAGTCAGGAGTTGAATCAATAAATTCGGACATTACTGGTTTTATTGGTTCGTTTTACTATAGAAACGTTTTTTTTTCTTTTTTTTTTTAAGCGAAAAATGGTGCATTAAGATTTTAGCAGTAGTGAACTGTCAATGATGGCAGGCAGAAGTGGAATGTTTACTGTCGTGAATAGATAGATGTTCATAGTGGTAGCAGTTATGTGATTGGATACGAAGAAATGTCAATGAGTGTCATCTTGTTTTCTTCTGCATGTCTGTGCTGCGTGCATTCACTCTCATATGCTTAACCTTGATATTCCATATGGAGTATTTTCAAACAAGTTTGTTTTTTCTTTTCTAATTGGAACGTTTCTACATACTTTCATCGTCAACGTTATTATCAAGGCGATTTTATCAATGCTAAAACATCAGATATTGATTGCTTGCATCGAACGAACATGCAAACAAATGAAAAATCATATTCCCCGTGACGTCACAAAAATATAAATCAATGTTGCAGTACTTTCGTTGGCATATATCGTTCATGCAATTTCGAAGGAATGAGATCTGAGAAATATCTGTTATGATTAATTAGGATTTGCATAATTTAGTCGAAAACTGTACTTTTGTTTCGGTAACTAGATGTCCTAATTGCTGACGTTGAGTTTAATAGCTCAAAGATAGAAAAATACAGTGCTTGCTACGTAAGAAGTATTGAGAGGTTCAAATTTGTTAAGTTAGGTTTCTCGAAGCTTAAGGGAATCGATAGTAAGGCTAGTAAGGCTTGTGACTAATTTGATTATGGTTTTTGACTATTTGTGATAATGTTTTCATGTTTAGCTTTGTAACAATTTTCTTGGAAGTTTTTGATGGTACTTTCCTTCACTTAGTTTTGTTTTGAAGTGAAGTTGGACTCCATTATTCAGATATCGGTATAAGATACTTCGTTCTATCTGCTACAGGATCAACGTCAAGCTTCAATGGGGAGCTCTGAAGAAGAAGTAGACTATATTAACTACTTTTATTCAACAAAGGAGAAATGGGTAGTGTAATGCGTCTTCCTTTGTCCCTCTGTTAGCAGACCCATCCAAGAAATGATGGTTTGCGTCTTCCTTTGTCCCTCTGTTAGCAGACCCATCCAAGAAATGATGGTTATTTCAAATTTTCTTGGAATAAATTTCATCTTGTGGAAGGTTGTTGTAAACACCATTTGTGAATAGTAATTACGATCGGGAAAGATCCCAATATGCATATCGATTGATACCATCCGAGAATAGAGATCACAATATCTAGTGTAGTCTCCCAGTTTATTAGTGGAGCAGTGAACACTGAACTAAACATGAAATGGGAAAAATTGGAACTGAGACAATTGTTTCAAATTTGCAGAGATCGAGACAACTACCAATCAGCTGATTTGTATTTATTAAGCGTTCAAGTATTTCCTCTTGAATTTTTTATAACTCGGTTAAAGTTGATGAAATAGTAGAAAATATGCAGGTGGCATCGCTTATAATACTCTAACCAACCAGAATGTCCGTGCTAATGGATTCAGAAGAGATTTTCATAATATTTTGCGTTCTCATGAAATTATGAAGCATGTACTTTAAAATAAAATTAAGCACATAACACTTTTAATCTTGAACTTCAAAATCCATCTGGATCACTTTATGTTGTCATTCCATTTGCTTGTTTGAAATATAATCATTGAGAGATATTGCGCACTATTTAAAGAACGAAATTTCCCAATCGATTTCTTCGTGGTTTCCTTCATTCTCATTTAAGCATTTTTTGATGGATACATGGAAATGGTCTCTTGATATTTAATTGTCCATTTATGGTTCAGAATTATCCCGAAATTGTCTTCGAAAGGGGTCTTGCTTAGGAACACTATCACTTCTAATATTTACGGGTGTCGGAAAACCCGAGAAGTCATAAATATTGTCTTATTTAGGTCATTTTCCCGACAAATGATTCACTACACAAAAATTGGAATTAAGCTTCTAACATATTAAGTGATGAATCATTTTAGTTCTCGTAATACTGTGGTGATGGATTGCCGCTCTGATGATCAAGACACTTGCAATCCTTGTCTTTGGCGAACAATTGGTCTGACAACCCAGCTTATGTACACTGACGGGCATATTGTAGAGGTATCTAATTTGATGGCCCATGCTTGTATCCAACGGTGCATGCCTAGACTTTCGTTAAACATACCATTCCTTTGTCTGAGAATCAATTTTTGATGTAATTTATTAATTTTGTTAACCACATCCACAATAATAGTTTTCAAATCGGTTTTTTGTACAAGCTACAATGATCGACGGTCTCTTCATTTTCAGCTCCAATTATCTTTAGTTATCTCCATTCAACACACATATTCCTCCTTGCCACCAATAAGGAACTCATCCGTAACTAACTGTTTTTGTATTTGTGTTCGCTAATAAACTGTTACCATCATCAATAAACCTTTATCAACTACCTGGCCTCCGTGTCATACAACACCAACTTCAACGTCAATCTCTTCCAAATCAGATAGTATTTTTCCACGACATAATTTTGGTGCCTGAGTGAGGTAATATAAGTCTTCTCAATTAAGTGGGAGGAATATAAGACTTCTCAATTAAGTGGGAGGAATGAATCTAATCTCATTCAATTAAAACAAGGGAAGAACTACGTCAAAAATACAAAACTAGAACAAGAATTATTGAAGAAAGGATGATGCTGTCGGAAAAACTCCGAAAGTTACAATGCAAATTTCCCGTCGGATTACAGGAATTAAAGTTATGTTCAAATGAAATTTCCACAATATCCAACAGACGGTATGACGAAATCTTGTAAAATTAAAACAGTGAAGAGGATATAAGCTAACAATAGACAACGTAAAACATGTAATTTTTTGTAAAAAATTTGTAAGCTACATTTGAGTATCTACATCATGGACAATGATATCATGGTATCTACACAATAGACAATGCAAAGAACAGTCATACTTCCATGACAACCCCGATGTAGCTTACAAAATTCCTCCTCTAATCCTTGTATTTCACAACCAAGCAGACAATACATCCTCTTCGCATATCCTCCACGATTGAACCACAAATAACGGCCATCTTCGCATATCGGCCACCACTGGACAGCAAACCACGATATTCTTCCTATTCGCTTAATACATTTCCTGTAGCATATCCTCAACTCAATGACATATCAATTAACCGACAGTCAAATTATTATCGAAGGCAACGACAAGGAGTTTGTTAGTTGATCATACTGCTTGCTTTTTGTATAACTCATCATTGTATACCAATCCATCGTGTAATATATATTATACCCTTTTTCTTGTTGTTAACTAGTAATATTGTGCAAAAACAATATTACATCCCGAACAGATCTGTATCGCCGAGAAACGAGTTCAGCAGGTGCGCTTCGAATGAATATTGACGTTCTTGAAACAATTATTGAAAAATGAATGGAATATGTCCAACAAATAACGAATCCGCATGAAAAAGGATAAAGATAAGTCGCAGAAATGGCGAACGACGATAAAGGTATTTTGAAGTTGACTGGTGATGGTGAGGAAACTATCATAATGTAACTATGTACAAGGGGATGATTATCAATTAGTTCTTCATTGTCTAGCTCAAAGTGATAAGGACAAGGAAACAACTGAGCGAGTTCCTTTAAGTAGCCTACTGTCCAACAATAAATCTACAACATTTGTCATTGGCCGCGCTCAGTGGTGACTCTAAAGACTCGAGGGAGTTCTGAAGCAGTTTTAGTGCTGCAGTACATTCTGAAGGGATTTCGGACACTCAGAAGTTATAATATTTAATGTCTTAGAGGGAAATGTTCTACAACAAAGCAGGCTATGACAAAGCACCGGAAAACTGAAGTTATAAGAGGAACACTATTAGAAAAATTTGGGTCCAATATTAAAAAATCGCTCTACTACGAGCTAAACTCCATGAAAGGAATGACCGCGAGTGGAAGTCAACACCATCTCCTAGTCAGTCTCTTCCAAGCCAAGTAATATTTTTTCTCGACAACGGCATTATGATTGATTTCCGACTCTTTGGATTAGCATTTGTTAGAGTGTTTAAAGTATCAGCTGTATTTGTCACTTGGTCATTTCATTTATTTATTTATGACCATCATAATGTTCTTTGTGGATAAGAAGATGCCGCAAAATTGTATAGGTTTGCTTTGGAATAACAAGTATATTGTCATCCAGTCTTCAGTGGATATGATGAAGGATCAGGTGGTTTCCTTTTAACTTTTTAGTCATTTTAGAGATCGATGCTCTGCATATTGTTTTCTCGTTTCCCGCTCCATGTTTGCATATACAAACACTTTTCTCAATTTTCTATGCTGCCGAAATATGGAATTTGGCACTATTTTTGAATAATATCAACATTTTGCGCATAATTTACTAAAAAAGTGGCAATAGTATTGCACTGTTGACAGTTGTGGTCAGTTTAAATCTTGCACTTCCGAGTGGCACATATGTAATAACGATGATTTATTTAATTTAAATGATGCATTTTGGATCAGACGCCGTTGGTTTCATAATTTTATTCCTGCAAGAAAGCTTCATTTTCTCGTTACTCTCGGTCTTTGTTTTTCTTCCCGAATAAAACTTCCAAGTTTGATGTTTGGTACAGAGCTGTATTATATTTGGTCGGGGGGTTTGAAGAATTGAGGATTTAGACGTTTGAAGATTTCTACAAACGCATAATGCCATGAAGTGGCTTGCGACAAAGTCCTGTTAATCGTTTCACTGAGCTTTACCTATCAGGTGAATGGATTTATATTCTGATGGTTAGAATAGGGAGATTTGAGATTGTCCACTGATCATGAACCCTTAATGTAACCAGAAATGCTTTTCATGTTATAAGTTTCTAATTGTGTCTTCGTCAGCGTGTAGTAATGTGGAAATTTGGAACCAACAAATACTAATTACGAGGAAGTTTGTTCAGTCTTGTGTTTCACAGGAGTCGGACATTAAACTCGCTGTTGAGTAACTCGAGAGAGTATAATCAGTGTAATTACATTACCAAACAGCTTAAATCTGATTTGAAGGGACATTTTGGAACTTGAATGAAAACGGCATATTTGACTTTGTAGTACTGAAGTAATAAATAAGCGTGTGTGGTTGAATGCAAATGAACCATCGTTTGGAGATTCGTTTGATTTAGGATCAGCCGGATCTGTTGAATTTATTATCTAACTGCGAATCATATGGACATAGTAAGTTAGTCGTCGGCGAAGCTGAAAGAAAGTTATGAGTTGTTTTAATTCAAATTCAAAGAATTTCTCAGATAAATGCTTTGTTATGCAAAATCAATAAAATAAATATTTCGATGCATGAAGTGATGATTCATTTATCCAAGTCCAACTCTTTCAATTTTTTAGCTAGTCTTAATTGCAATGTTTAGATGTCGCAGATAAAGCTCTCTCTCTCTCCCCTC